CACTGGACTCGGACGGGCGAAAGCGACGATCCCCATGAAGATCTTTCATGTACTGCCTCTGGGAGAGCGGGCGGAAGAACGCTCGTCCGACCTTCCCCCAGAGCTGGCTCGCTCCGAACATAAGCTTGCCTTTGAGCTTCCCAGCCAAGCCCGGATCTAAGCTGCCAGACTCGAGGATCGCGTCGATCGTGTCCAAGAGCTCTTGCTTCCTCTGCTCTTTGATCTCCAAGACGAGCTGTTCTAAGTTGAACGTCACGCCCAGGATCACCGGGGCGACCGGGAGCTGCAACTTCTTCTCATCGAACAGGGCCCCCAACAGGAAATGAACTGTCTCCGCGGCGATCTTCGCCGAACTTCATCGTCAGTCCACACAAAAGGAGACGGCGTGCCATAGAACAAGGGGGCGAAGGGAACCATTGCGGAGGCTTCAGGCGTGTGTTGGAGGTCGGAGAGCAAGCCTTGGCGGCTCGCGAAGTCGAATGCACCAATGCCATCAACAGAAAGGACAGTGCAGCTGGGGTCGGTATCGGTTTCGAGTTGGGGGCTGTGGGCGAGAGCCTCTGCCCCTGCACGCGTGGACAAGGCAAACTGGTGGTGGCGGGTGGCTTCATCGATCTGACGGCTGTATCGCTGGGCAAGGGTGCGGGCGACCAAGTGGCGAAGGAAATCCCCGACAACAAGTCCACGGACGCCTCCGGCCGGTTTGCGCAGAGAGCAACAAAGCGTCCAAGGCCGAGTGCTGAAGCAATGGAGGTGGGGAGGCGGGCACGTGCTAGCAGCAGTGCGACGCCGCAGAATGCCTCGGAGGAGTCGGCGTCGTCAAGCAGCAATCGCGCGATGTCGGCTGTGAGTCCACTGGGGCCGGGGGCTGCGCCTCGGCGCGAGCGACGCAGGTTGGTGAGCAAAGTAGCCGCAGGCAGCGCGACAGGTGCTTCGGGGAGCCAGGACAACAGGTCAGGGTCAAGCGGTGCGTATGGCAAGGGCGACGGTCGGGGTCGCGTAGCTGCAGGAGGGTGGCGTGGTCGCCCGGGGCAAGAGGCTCGCTCAGCAGGGCGCGTCGAGCAGCGGAAAGCTCGCCGAGGTGGGGTAAGTGGACCGTTTTGTCAACACGTTGCTCGGCGCCGGGCTCTGACGCGGAACCTCGAGCGGGCGGCGAAGCGGTGGAGGCCTCGGGCAGGAGTGAAGCCCAATCCCCGCTCTGGAAGGCAGAGATGCGTGCACGCAGAACAGCAGCCGGAATGCGAGGGGCAGCTGGTGGCCGGAACAGGAGCATACGGGGGAGGAACAACCACAACTTCCAAGCGCGCTCTGACTCAACGCTGGTGGCAGCAGCGGCAAGAGACTGGATGTGCGACAAGGCCAAAAGATGGCAGAGGCTTGGGGGTGCACTGGTTCGTCTGGCGGGGTGGCCTCGGCGGCTTGCACTGGGACGGGGCCGGCAGCTGCAGAAGATGACGTAGAGCTGGATGAGGAGCTTGAGGCCGAGCCGTGGTGCTCAAGGGGTTGAGCGGCAAGGTCGGGCAGCCGGGGGTGCGCTGGCCCGTTGCACGAGCTCAGCAAGGCTTCTTGCGCAGTAGCAAGAATGTATCCGTCGGGCTGCAACGCGAGACTCCAAGCCCAGAGAAGGTGCACGGAGGCATTGGCCGGCAACGTGCTAGCGCCAACACTCAGGTTTAGGAGGAGTTGTGCTTCGGGCAGCGGCACAGGCCGACCTTCATCGGAGGAAAGCTGCTGACGTGGAGGGCATGAACAATGGAGGCGGGAGGCACAGAGCCCGCTAGCCGGAGGTTGGCGAGGACTCGCGACCAGAGCGCACCATAGCGGGGGCTGGATTCCCATGCCTGCAAAGCGTCCGGGTGGAGGCGCCCCACAGCCGCATGCAGCAACGGCACGAAAATCCAGCTGTGCGTAGGTGATGCGGACAGCGGGGCAAGGCAACACTTGAGCGCCGCGAGAGCAAATCTAACCGCGGCTTCCTTCCCGCAGGTCCAGGGCCAAACAACGAGGGCCATGTGTCGGGCAGTGGGGGCGGTCAGCATCGGGGGGCAAGGCCTGCAGCAACGGGTGCTCGCTATTCACTGTGGCATTGCATCGGAGGCAGACCCACTCAGGAGCCCATTGGTTGGACTGACGGTGGAAAACGGGGGCCCAATGCATGTGACGGTCCGGCAGCTCCTCCCAGGCTTCGTCACGGGATGGGGTTCAAGTATCGTTAGTAGCAGCTCTGATCATAAATGAGCCTGATCTCGTTGGAAGCAGTGCCCCTATCTCGTTCTTCTTCTCTTAGAGCGAGTTCGGACCAAAAATTAACGCAAGGAGCTATCTCGTTTCAACGGAGCATCGTATTGGCACAAATACAAGCCGTCGCTCACATGACGGCGGATTTGAGTGGGCCTGCAGTAACAGGAAAAAGCCAGGATTTAACCCGCTCAGCAGCGGCATCCAAAACGAGATCACGAGCGGTTCAAGTTCTCGCTCAGGATTACCATGTCATCGGCATACAACAAGACATGAAGGCGAAGGGCCGCAGCGGACACCAGCACAGGCTCGTTTGATTGCGACAGCCAACCCATTCATTGTTCGTTTTTTTTGTTTGTTCTTTAAAAGCGCCCTTTTGCGACTGCGAGAGGAGTCCCAGCTCCGTCTATAATTAGCAACCTACTGCCTATACTGCTGGTCGCCGCGAGGGTCGGCCAAGACCTCGTGCAGCTCTGGTACGCGTCCCTCGCCGAGCTCGGCGGCAGGCGGCAGCTCGAGGAGCGAGGCCGCGGAGGCGCGCTGGGAGGCGACAGCCAAGAGCCCAGACCAGCGCGAGATCCAGGCGACAGTTGCCGAGGGCCGCAATTGCGCACGCACGGCGGCGGCCCGGTGTCGTGCGAGGAGGCGCAGCAGCTATACGGGCAGTGACGGCGAATACGGCGATCCTCGGCTGGACATCGGCATGCGGGTGGGGCTCACCGCGCCGTGTGAGGGGGCAGACGATGGTGGCGTCCAGGGCGAGCCAGAGAGGGAGGCCGTTGGCGAATGTTGGCGACGACCTCAATGCGCCATAATGCGCCGTTCGTCCGAGACCGGCACATCGAGGCTCAAGTCCGCAAGCCGGACGTGGCGGGCGACCCGGGCGCCGGCCTCGCGACAGACTCGCGCGACGGCATGCTCCAGGGGCAGCACGCGCGTGGCGAGGTGCACCCGAGGTAGCACAGGCTGAGCGGTGGTCGCCGAGTGGATCAAGCTCACCATGACAGCGGCATCTGCGCGGCGAAAGCGGAGCGGAAGCTGCCGGCCTGCGACAGCAGCAGCGCTCGAGACGTGGGTGTGAGGTCAGTAAGGTGCGTCTCATATCAGGCGCGGGCAGCGAGGCGCTGCCAGCCCTTGAAAGGCCAAGGATCGCCAGAGGTTTCCCCAACGCGCTGGGGAGGGGGTGCGGTAGCAGTGCCGGCGCATACGGCTGCCCAGTCAGGAGTGTCACAGCCGAGAGCGCGCAGATGCGCCTGCGCAAGGACGGCGGCTGCGGTCGAGGGGAGGGCGCTGTCGCCGCGGAGGGCACCAAGCAGCCGGTCCGCCGCAGCCGGGGCACGGGCATGGATGACGGGCAAGGTGTCGCAGCACCTAGCTGATTTCAGGTGAGCAGTGACGGCCCGAAGTAAGCCGTTCGGGTGCTCAGGATCGGGTTCAATAGATTCATGTAGATTCCCTCACAGATCCACTGCAATCGACAGATTGCACTGTTGATCGTCCGCGCCGCTCTGCAACTTCAGCAGTTGCAACTGGTTTGTTTTTCAGCTCCGGAGTCCAAGAGACTTTTCGCAAAGTCTTCTTGGGCTGCTGTGATGCGGTTCGAACAGCACTCCCGTACTCAGGATTAATCGTTTCGTTTGGCGCGCTGGACGAAATGGGAGAAGCAGCACGCATCTCTTCTTTTTTTGAAGGCTGCAGCTATCATCGATTCGCGCTTCGCCTTTTCCTAATTCAATGGACGTCGGGGATCCGAGTTGAGCTTAATCAACGTGTCTGCAGCCGATATTTGACCGCCGGCATTTGCCCGTCATCGTTAGCAGCTTGAATCAACTTGGCACTCGTCATGTCGCCCGGGTTGGGATCCTCAACCTTCGTCCGCATGCGCAATACATCAAAAAAACCCAAGTTGTTTTTTCAGGGAGATCGCCCCGAAACCTCCAGCGCTGGTCCGTCAGCATGTGCAGATTCATATCGGGCCTGAGGGCGGCTCTTCAGCAAGCGGAGCGGGAATCTCCCGCTTTCGACCGCCCTGCGATGGATGGGTCGAGATGCATCAAGCGTCGATGTTGCCTGCGTTCCGATGTGGTCGAGATCCATGTCGTCATCGTCATGTATCGGCAACGGGATGTTGTACGGGTCCTTGCGGTGGCCTAGCCTTCGGCCCCACCTCAGGTGTCAGCGGAGCCGCGGAGATTCACATCAGATCGGGCATGGATGCCGAAGGCGGTTGGACACTTGGGGCGAGCACGCTTGCCTGCACGCGCAGCGGCGCGCTGGCTCGCAGGACACGCCCACGCCAGGAGTGCCGACGCCAGACCGCCGACGCTCGATCTCGTGGTGCACGGGGCCTCGCCCAGCCCTGTGCTGCGATGCCACGCTCGTTGGCCCATCCGATGCTGGCACCCCACACCCACGCGCACAGCGCACCCCACCACATGCGCGCAGCCTATCCAAAGTTGCAGCGTGGCGGCGGACAACGCCTCCTCGTCCTGGCTGCGGAAATCGAGGGCCGCCGGAATGCCGACTCACGGGCACGCATCCGCCAGCTCGTCCGTGTCCGAGGGCCGTTTAAAGAACCGCCAGCAGCAGCGCTTGGGACGCAGGTGAAAGGTTTGCAAAATGCATTTCGAGCGCGCGCTCGTCACAAGCATGGGCGGCGGGGCTCCACAGTTGCTGCGTCGAGGATCATGCGCATTTGTAGCTTTCATCCACCTGGTAAAATTTACCAGCGGGATCGCAGAAATGCATAAGTAGGGGCGCTGCCAGCGTTAGCTGCTGATTGCTGCGCGGCAGTAATTGCAAACATGGTGGGAACTGGGCAGCAGGCTTGGGCCTTTCGGGCAGCGGGTGGCCCGCGAAGCTGAGGAGGGGCCAGACATGTTGCTGCCGCCGCATCGTGCCCAGCAGCACATATCGGCCGTGAGGGCAGGAGGCAAAACCCGCAGCAAGTAGTTGGCGCACGGCGCAGCGCAATGGCACAGAAGCAGCCATGCAGGTCCTCGAAGCCATGTACTGCCTCCAGCAAGCGGTCTGGGGTAGCCATTTTGGTGCGAAGCTTATGTGAAATTAATGGTTCGGAACTGCGCGCCCCAGCAAAGTGAGCCTTAGCTGATCGCGCGGGGGCGTCCCACCAGCCGCGTTCCAATTTTTTGTTTTGCTGCCTGCAGGGGGTTGGGCTGGACACGCGCGTGGTTCCATAACGCGTCTCCAACCGCAGAGTACCATGTTCGCCGCCCTCACCTTGCAAGGTGCCATGGCTACGCCCTTGGGCGTCGCCCCCTGTCCGGCAGCCGTTGCAGCTCCGTCCGCGCAAAGCTCCAAGCATGGCCCAACGTGGGACATGGTCGTACTGTCGGCACCGGCGGCATCGACACTCCATGTGACTTTTCTTGTGTCATTGTCACCACCTTGTTACATGCGCGCTTGCATTAACATGCCTCCCATGTAGATTTGGGCCAACAGCAAGCAGCATACCATTTTCGAAAAGAGGCATACATGCATACATGCATGCATGCACGTGCCGACTTGCAACAGCACGTTGGCCCCCGGAGATTGCCAGCATGATACTCACCTGGCCGATGCAGTCCCGAACACAGCTGTGAGCCGCCCTTCACAGTTTTTCTTCCTCCGCCGCACCAGGCGTGGCGCCGCGCCCGGGCTTTCCGTTTTCATGAGCGACCATTTATGCAGGCCATTGCAAGCCCGTGCCCCTCCGACCGTCATCGAAGAGAGCTGCGCGTCGGCCTCGATCCTTGGTCGCCTAGCGCAAGCCCGCGGGGGGTGTCATAGCACTCGTCGTCGGGGACGGGCTTGCGCATGCGTTTGCCTTTCCAATAAGTTCTCAGCACCCGAGCCGGCACAGAAGCCTTCGCCCGCGTCTTGCGCACAGCCACGGAAGTTGACCCCCGGGTTTCAGGACCCACGACTCTGATTGACCTTACGGCACCACCTGTGCCGCGCAAGCGTCGACAGTTGTATTTTACAGGCATGTTCGGATTGACCTTCGGTGATTGTCGGGCTGTGTTTTGGATTGTTCCAAGCTCGTCAGAGTGGAGCCGCTGCTGTCGCTACACCTGTGTCCACGCTTCTTGCACGAAACGCATTAGTGCTTCCTACCGCGCCTCAGCCACAAAGTCATGCAAAACGCGCTTAACTTCCCAACATTGCCAAGACGCGGCTCGAATGCCAAGACTCCAGTGGCGACCCCAACTTTGATAATTAGTGGGCAGCACCGGCGGTTTCTGCCAAGCTGCAGTTTTCGGCACTGGAAAATGAAAAACCAGTGCAGGCGTGGGAGCCGTTGCGAGAATCTCGGACGTAACGGCTGACGGGAGTGCATCAACTGCCAGCTGGTGCTCATGCGCGTTGTCGATCTGTAATTCAGACAATCCTGAGGTGTTTCGCGACATGCAAGATGTGCTTGGTAGCATGCAAGGGCACATCAATGTTCATATCAGCAACAGATGCAACCCGCTCCCGTGTTTCCTGTGGCACCCGAGGCAAAGGCACCGGACGTAGTGCATGCGAGATGGTCGAACCCGCGCCATAAACCTATAAACCTGCAGCATCCTGCAGCCGTAACCGCTCGATGTTGGCCAGTTGGCCTCCGACAACACGTGCTCCTGGCAGGATGGCTCCAGCGTCGAATCGATTCTCGGCAATCTGAACGAAGCGACGCGGTCATGCCCACGCTCTGCGGCATCGCTCACCAACTGCGATTGCGCGATGGCGAGGCGGGTTTGCTGAAAGCGCTGGCGAGCGGTGAGCCGTGAGACAGTGAGTCGCCACCTTGGGGACCACTTGGCGCAGGCCCGCGATGCAAAGGTATAGTCGCAGACCGCCGCCTGTGATGGCCAGCCACAAGAAAAACAACAAATACGTTGTCGTAGTCCCCGAGCGAGCCGGGAGCTGCAGGACCACTGCGCAAGCACGGGCGCATCCCAACGTGCATCTCGAGTGCAGGTGGTAAATCAACAAGACGCAAGGCGTGGACAAAACGCAAGGCGTGGACACTGGGCGGAGCACGATGTCGGGTGCGTGCGGCGTGGACACTTGGGCGCGCAGGCGGTGCACGGAAGAGGCGTGGAAAGCGATATCGGCAGCACTGCGCCTAACGAGTTCGGATGGAGTTCGCGGGCGCTTCAGCAAGACCGTTGGCGACGATTTCGGTAACATGCAGGTCGGCTAACTGCGTCCGACTTGCATGCCAGCTCTTCGGCACACATGGACCACTGCTGGCCTAAAGCGCCAGATGCCCAACAGGCTGAGCCGTGAAGTTGATTGACCTGTCTGCCGGCAGTTGCAACTGCACGGCACGGGCGGGAGAGCCAGGGAGAGGAAGGCAGAGGCTCCGCGATAGCGGGACTGAGACTCAGTCGGAACAACACTTTCAGGAAATGGCAGATCGCCTTGGGCGTGGGCCGGCAAGACAGTGATGACGCGTGCAAAGAACGGCCCCGCATGTAGCTTGGCCACCAACCACCTTGTCATCGTCAGTTCCGAGAAGCTACTGGGAGCCCGATCTTGGCCGGGTCCATCATTCAAAAATTTCATCGGACCGGCTGGCATCCGTGATGCTCCCTTGTCTTGATGCCGTAAAACTTCAGCTCGCGCAATATCTTTGCGACCGTTTCTGTCCTCGGGATGTTTCTTCGAAAGGTAAACATTCACTGAACTTGTTTCACTTTGCAAAACACGTGAGCATGTTGGTCGTGAGCTTATCGTGTTTTGGAGGAGAGCTGACCGACACGCCCGCGGACCTTCCAATCACGACGGGCTGCATATTCTCGCGACTTCCATGTCGAAGCTTCCAAGCTGAGCACATTGTGAACAACGGCACATACAAACGTTGGGATATTCTGGAAAAAGTCGAGGACCCCAGCTGCTAACGATATGCCCGCGTTTGTCCATCCAGCAAGCTGAAGAGGGCCGCTGTTTTTGTGCAAAGGGGTCGCTACACCCAACAATGATATCCTCAATTCGAGAAAAAAACCGTAAAATCCGAAACGGAACACTCACCGCAAGGCGAGGTTGGTTGGTTAACACAAAACACGAAACCCCAAAATTCACTGGGAGGTCATGTTGGATGTGTCAGGTTTCGAACCCAAAGTAGGGCACCAGACTGAGCTTTAAGGTTTCGGATTGTGAAACTCTAACGGTTACCGATCAGGGTTTAGAGTCCAGCATCTCAAGATGGAACAATCACTGGAAGCCCGAAGGTGCTTGGTAACAAACACGCACCCACCCACCCTCTGGATCCCATATCAGAATGAAACTTACAACGAGAGTTTGTACACACATACACTCACGGCTTGCTTCAAACCCAGAGTTCTTTCGAGTAACATGGGCCGTTTCGCCCAACATGCAAAATCAAATAAAATCCTTGCACTCATAGCTGCAGATTGGTTTAACTTCGAAGGTCTAATCGAAGATTTAGAAAAATCATGTTAAGTTGAAAGCCATGTACGTCGAGGGTCTAGCCGTAGATTGAGCAAATCTATGGTTTTTACAGTTGGATGATTAGCCAGAAAACGGGATAATTTTGGGAGCATTTAAAGTCCATAGTCTAACCTTTGATTTGGGAAAAAGAATAATTTTAGCAAGCAGGTAGGCGGCTTCTGTGAGCCATACAAATTGAGGGTGGATTTGGACAGATGTTGCTTGCAACGCTTGATGGTCAGCATGTAGGATGATCGTTTTGTGCCATGAAGGACACTCAATGATAGCACGGCTGCTCTCGTATTGGGGCCTGGCTCCATGCCAAGGCTCCTACCGCAGATCCATTTTGGGGATGATCGGCTGCGACGCCTTCTCTCCCCATTGGGAGGTGAAACATTTGGAAAATGAACTCGGAACCCCTAGCCCTTGACGGCGAAGCCTGAACCTTGAACACTAAGTAGTCGTTACACCCTGGACTTTCAACCCTGAACTGAAGCCTCATCTCCGCTCCCTGACGCCTGACTGGAAACATAAAGCAAGACCCTAGCCAAACCTTGGGAACACAAGACACGGCATCAGCCTTAGCATCCTGCCGCGCTCAAGTAAAGATCAGGCAGAGTTCGCAGAGCCCTTCGCGGTCTCCACATCTGGGGTTCCACAACACTGCGGGTTGCGGACTCGGTACAGCCATGTGTACGTCAAAGCCACGAGGATCCACATGAAGGCCAGTGGGACTGCGGGCGCCAGGCTCGATGGCTCCACATTGTTTCGGACGAGAGGGTACGGCATGAAGAAGAGGAGCACCAGGAGGACAGCCCCGAGCTCTAAAATTGGGACCATTGTCCACCTCGGCATCTGCCTCGGGAAGCTTGCGCCGGCCCTCCAGCACAACACAAGTGTGGCGAAAGCAAAGAAGGAAATTGCGGGAAATTTGCAATAGTCGAGCATCCATTGCCACAGCCCCCAGCCCCTCGAGCCACGCAGCCCCAAGTGCAGAATCTGAGGGAGCTGCGCAAGCTGGGACGGTGCCAGCATCCACGCGATGTAATGAAAGGGTGGGGTGCCTGATCCAACTGTTGTCAGCAAGGACGGGGGCGGACTTCGCACGAGAAGGTCGAACCTATCCAAATACTGTTCTCGGCCGTCAGGCCGATCTTCTGAGTCCTTGTGTTGCTCGAACTGGAGTTGCAGGTCCCATCTTCTCAGCGTGTGGAATATCAGCTCTCGGTCGCAGGGCAGCAGCTCCCCAGTGAATGGATGGCAATGGTCAACGGAGCAGCATGTCGTTTCAGCTGCCCTGACGCTGAACCTCTCGAGCTGCTGCTTTAGCTGGAGGAGATCCTGCATGTGCCGTGCCCCGAAGTGTATCTGACCTGGCAAAATCAGCAGCGGAGCAGGCAGCACGGAAATCGCAAACACGATGAGTCTGTCAGTAATGGACATGTCCTCTCCCATTTCGATGCTGGCTTCAACAGCAATGAACGCCTGCCCGAGGATCGCCAGCAGCGATACAAACGTCGCAGCGGACAGCAGCAACAGTGCTGCGGAAATCGGCATAAACTCCACAGGTCTTATGTTGTCCGTATCCTTTAGAAAGCAATGCAACTCGAAAGTGCACCAAAGCCTTGAAAAATATTCCCGCTGTTGTTGTTGTAGATGAAAAACGACATCAGCTTGGACTCCCGAAAGAGCAGCTAGACGCCAGCACCACCCGCAGCAGCTTCACGCAGATTGCCGCCGCTGCCGCCTGTGCATGTGGACGAAGCGATCATGCCAGT